CGCAACAGTACGAGATGGCGCGTGTGGCACGTGTCATGTAGCATGTGTGTAGGTATGTGTGTGTGTGAGTGTGGTGCTACTGTAGGTGTGTGCGCAGGCCGCAACGGTACGAGGTGACGCGTGTGGCACGTGTCATGTAGCATGTGTGTATGTATGTGTGTGTGGGTGTGGTGCTACTGTAGGTGTGTGCGCAGGCCGCAACGGTACGAGGTGGCGCGTGTGGCACGTGTCATTTAGCATATGTGTATGTATGTTGTGTGTGGGTGTGGTGCTACTGTGGGTGTGTGCGCAGGCCGCAACGGTATGAGGTGGCGCGTGTGGCACGTGTTATGTAGCATATGTGTATGTATGTTGTGTGGGGGTGTGGTGCTACTGTAGGTGTGTGCGCAGGCCGCAACGGTACGAGGTGGCGCGTGTGGCACGTGTCATGTAGCATATGTGTATGTATCTTGTGTGTGGGTGTGGTGCTACTGTAGGTGTGTGCGCAGGCCGCAACGGTACGAGGTGGCGCGTGTGGCACGTGCCATATAGAATATGTGTATGTATGTTGTGTGGGGGTGTGGTGCTACTGTAGGCGTGTGCGCAGGCCGCAACGGTACGAGGTGGCGCGTGTGGCACGTGTCATGTAGCATGTGTGTATGTATGTGTGTGTGGGTGTGGTGCTACTGTAGGTGTGTGCGCAGGCCGCAACGGTACGAGGTGGCGCGTGTGGCACGTGTCATGTAGCATGTGTGTATGTATGTGTGTGTGGGTGTGGTGCTACTGTAGGTGTGTGCGCAGGCCGCAACGGTACGAGGTGGCGCGTGTGGCACGTTGTCATGTAGCATGTGTGTATGTATGTGTGTGTGGGTGTGGTGCTACTGTAGGGTGAGGCGAACAGGTGGGTGTGGTATGTATGTAGATGTGTGTTGTTGTGTGTGTGGGGTGTGGTGCTACTATGTGTGCGCAGGCCGCAACGGTACGAGGTGGCGCGTGTGGCACGTGTCATGTAGCATGTGTGTATGTATGTGTGTGTGGGTGTGGTGCTACTGTAGGTGTGTGCGCAGGCCGCAACGGTACGAGGTGGCGCGTGTGGCACGAGTCATGTAGCATATGTGTATGTATGTTGTGTGTGTGTGTGGTGCTACTGTAGGTGTGTGCGCAGGCCGCAACGGTACGAGGTGGCGCGTGTGGCAAGTGTCATGTAGCATGTGTGTATGTATGTGTGTGTGGGTGTGGTGCTACTGTAGGAGTGTGCGCAGGCCGCAACGGTACGAGGTGGCGCGTGTGACACGTGTCATGTAGCATGTGTGTATGTATTGTGTGTGTGGGTGTGGTGCTACTGTAGGTGTGTGCGCAGGCCGCAACGGTACGAGGTGGTGCGTGTGGCACGTGTCATGTAGCATGTGTGTATGTATGTGTGTGTGGGTGTGGTGCTACTGTAGGTGTGTGCGCAGGCCGCAACGGTACGAGGTGGCGCGTGTGGCACGAGTCATATAGTATGTGTGTGTTGTGGTAACCACACGCAGTATGTGTGCGCAGGCGGCAGCGGTACGAGGCGGTGCTGGTGGCGGGCGCGGCGCCGGCCGTGCAGCTGAGCACGCCGCCCGCGCCGCCGCCCGCCCCGCGCGACGCGCGCCGCGCCAAAGACCTCGTCAAGCACCAGCTCGCCAGTGGACTGCGCCTCACGTATGTACGCACGCACATGCACACACACGCACGTATGCACGCATACGCACGTCATAGATATCACTCCCGAAATTATTAAATAAAACTGATATTAGTCAATATTGCCTCCTACTTTATAAAAATCACTAGCTGTGCCCCGCGGCTTCACCCGCTAATATCACGCGTCTGAGCCACGCGACATGACATGACACCTCGCTTATTTAAGATTAATGAAGTATCGGCATATGTATGTTATAGAGCAAAGTTAAATTTTATCCACTCTCCTTTCCCCTCCACAGTACAGCTACTGCGCTCCGCAAAGTTACGGATGATATCTGGTGGGGTATAGACCAGAAATACTAAACGGTACTTGTGCTGCTAGACTTTAGTAGTGCTTTCAATTCTAAAAATTAACTTGAGCTATTGAAAAACTTAAGTTTTTGTTATATTTTTAAGCTAAAAAAGTATAACCACGTCTCTTCCTCTCGCAAACAGCTCAACTGGCTTCCAATCCGACTTCGCAGGATTACTCGAATCCTTTGCCTTCTCTTTAACATGCTATACAATCCAACCGCTGTATCTAAGTCATCAATTCCGCTTTGTTCATTCCCCCGATGCAGTTTGCAGATCACACTTAAAAACTCGTCTAAATTGCCCTTCTTCCAGTACTACGTCTATTCTCACTTTCAGTTAATTTATGGAATTCTCTTCCTGCTTCAACTCATGAGGCTCAAACAGTTTTCAGTGTTTAAAAGGCGAGTTAAAGAGCACTAGATAATCTCCCAATGATTTAATGCGTGCCCTGTATATATGTATACACATATATATCTATATGTATTTAAGTATATGTATGTATGTATGTATTTGTATTTATTGTTCTTTTTTCATATTATGTATATTAATATTATTTATTATAAGAGTGCACATTAAATATGCTTCACTTTGAATCTGTCCAGTATCGGCCTGCTGGAAGGAATTTCAATATGAAATAAGCAGTGCCTTTCTACAAAATATCTTTTTTTTATTTTTTCATTATAACATTACTTTGTGTGTATGTAAATATTTAAATAAATAATTAAAATAAAAGTACTCTTATGCCAATTTTTCCATAATTTGCTATCTAGAATGTTTGAATTAATAGAAGCGTCCCCCTACAGGTTTCTCTTGGTTCTCATGGGGCGGCTAGCGTTTGTGCGTCGTACGCACAATTTTGTTACACAAGTAGAATGGCGCTAAATCATATACAAATAAATAGTTTAATTCATTACGATTTGATTCATTTAAGTTTTATATATATCTGGCATACAAAATTAAAAAGATATAATTGTTTACCGACTGCCAGTATCGGGCAACGTTCCGTACAGGCCCGGACGTTTGGCGCGTAAAAGAGAAAAATGGTCAGGTGCTTGACGGATTAATAAAAATCAATCAATATTTAAGGCCAGCTGAGGTGCAGCCTAATGCTAGATAGTCTGTACTCTTCCTCATGAATCTAGCTATAATATATAAAAAGCATTATTAAATCGGACTGGTAGTTCCAGAGATTAGCGTGCTTAAACAAAAACAAAATCTCTTCCGCTTTATTATATTAATAAAAGTATAGTATGGATAGAACTAAGTTAAGTAAAATTTTAACGTACTAGAGCCATACTGCAGTGCAGCTACGTTATAGTTGTTATACAAAAAGAGCGGCTCGACCGGGGTAGGATCACGCTCTCACAGAATACCAACGCATAATAGCAGCTCAATGCTGCTGCGTTTCGTGTGGTGATTGTAGAAATGCAAGAGAACCTTTTTACTGGAAGCAAGGTAATTCATCTTGCTCTTCAGGGTGACATCGCAACAGCGTTTAAATCCTTAATCGAGAATAGACGTAGATGTAGCATCTACTTACCATCAGTTGAATATCGTACCATACGTAGTGGTGATCATTACAGATGGTAACACCTGTGAGCATCTGTTTAATGACTTTGTGGATGATCAATAAAGTGTTGAAACGCGCATACATAATGTTAACATAAAATTGGCGATGGAGTGATTAGGGTGAGACCAAAATCAAAATACACCAATGGGCGTGAAATATCGATAAAAATTGCGGTATATTAGTGTCTCCTGATTTAACACAGGTGATGTAAGTGAATGTATTTACCCGACAACGGCGACTCCAAATGGATGGTTTCGATTTTACAAGGCTATGTATGCTCGCTCATATGTATGTTCATCTGTTCCCTCAGATCTTCTAAACTACTCATCGTATTTTGATAAAAATGTTGTGAGCTCGCCTTAAAGAAATTTTGCAATTTTGCTACATGCTTTATTCTAATAAAAGTACATTTCAATAAACAATTATTGAGTGTTAATGTGTTCTAGTTTTTCAGTTAGTGCACCTCTACGAGAAAATCGTTTTTTTGAAAGTGCTTGTTGCATATAGTCGAATATTTTATTTTCAGAACTTTTTCTCCTGTATTTATTATTTTCAACCATTTTTATTAAACATTAATATTTTATGAAAATCTGCCACACACATTTGCGTACATTACATTAGGAACAGTGTGCTTGTTTGTTATCCAAATTCTATAAAAATTTTGTTCGTGCGACAAAATTTTACGGAGCGGAACTCTAAAAATTAAAAAAGATATTACAAATAATAAAAATATAAATTACTTAGCAACCTTCCGCTAGCTAAATACAATGATGTGTCTTACCTGGATTGAAGAGCACCTTCCGCCCTCCCTCAAATGCATGCACTAACTCCGTCAACACTCCCAACACCACTATTCCAGGTAAGACACACACATGTTTCGCACACGTTCTCTACACGAGGCGAGGGCGGGAGGTGCTCTTCAATCCAGGTAAGTCACATCATTGTATTTAGCTAGCGGAAGGTTGCGAAGTAATTTATATTTTTATTATAATGGATTTCCGCAAAGTAACGCCTGATTCTATCAATTAGATATTACAAAGTTGAACAAGGCTGCATGCTAGATATACCTTTGCCAGTAAGGGAGATATTGATAAGATGTTATCAATAGTGTCAGTCTCTACAAAAGTGAGGTTAGAATTAGCAGGATTTCATCTATTTGTGATTATTTATAATTCAATTCCTATATATTCATAACATTAATATTATAAAATGTGATAATTTTTCCTACTCATTTCTGTAAAAATTGCTTATGCTTGCTTGCTCAAAAATAAAGCATTTTGACAGCTAAATATTTCAATCGTACCTTCGGGTTAAATATATAATAATGAGAAATTTCTGTCTGAGGTAAATTATATCTAGATACTATGCACCTAGTCTTAACTAATTACGTTTATTAATCACTCATTTTTACTGAAATGCGTGGTTGCAGTCCGGGCGAGAGCCGGCGGGCGTTCGGGTTGTACCTGACGCAGGTGGTGAAGCGGCTGTCGTGCGGCAGCGACGTGTGCGCCGCGCACGCTGCGCTCGTGCTGCGCTTCCTGCGCCGCGCCTCCGCAGCGCTGCGCATGCCCTATCACGTGCAGGTCGGTGCCTCTAGCTGCAGCACGTGCAGCTCGATACCTATAGCTATATTGGTCACACTGCACATTTCATTATTTTGGCGACGCTGTCGTCGCACCACAAATAAAACGCACCAAAGCCTAAATCACGCTATCAAAGTTCCGAAGTACTACGATATATAAGTAGAATAGCTCTTTACTACTACACGAAGCGTTGATCGCATCCTGGACTTAAACCTTGCCCGGTGGGAGATCTTCCCTTTTTCTTCCACTGCCAAAGTAAGCGTGGGTAATACTATTATTTACACTGTACCTAATCGTATCTATGTATTGGATTTAAATATCTGATACTGAATCTATATACATATTTTAATATCTATGTATCGGTTGATATCTACGTGATTCTGTAACTCTCTACGCGACTTTTGATGGATTCGCTTTGCTTAGGTTATATATATATATATATTGTTATATCTAAGTTTTTGTGATACTCTGAAACGTGCATATCTTGCAGCGGGGAGTCGAAGTGGATATATTATATATTTTACTCAAATATAATGTGTCGCGTGCATCATATCATGTGCATCATATTATAATTATTTTACGATAATGTTATTACTACGAGTTCGATGTTAGATGTTCTGTGAAGTCACACTATACTGCAACGGTATACGATATTTGCTACATAGTTAGTCTGTCGCCCAATATATAGATATTTGATATTGTCCCCGATATATAGATATTGTATCTATATACAATTTGTATCGCCCAATCCTAGGCTAAAGTATCTTACAGTGCATATAACCGTAGGGTCCGCCCGCAAAGATGTGCGACAAGGACCGATGCGCGGTGGTGGCGAAGCAGCTGAACGACTTCTTGTACCTGTATTGCCGCGATGCGGACCTGTGCGCGGATGCTGAACGTCGCGACGGCTGCGTCTCTAACATCCACTTCGCGCAGTTCCTCTACTCTGCAAGGTGAGGACGCCACTCCTTTGGAATCCTGTTACTTTTGTATATTTATATCAGCTTTTGTTCAGAATGGAACAAGGTAGATAATACCACAAACTGTTTACATTAAAATTAAATAAGGTTTTTAAATATTAAATATTAAAATAAAAATATTTAAAAAATATGTAAATACTTTCTACTTTTCTTTTCTAATAAATTTTTTAAAAAAATTCCGAAGTCTTGTGTTAGTTACCACACATCCAAATGCTCCTAAAACATCGAATAATCGTGTAGTCAAACAATGCTCCGTTTGTCTGCTCGAGGGCGCTATAGTACGTGCCAAATCGATTAAGAAAAATGGACAATGACCGTTCGGTCGTTTAACCAGGGGTTACAAATCTTTAATATATAGGAACATTTTATATGTAGTATTTTCTTTATTTATAATGATTTTTTTATAATTTTTATAATGATTTATATAATATATATTTATTAACTATTATTAAAACGTTATGTAAAATATCTCCGTAGAAGAAAAATCATCTATTGTTATAAAGTACTTTATTCATTTAACAACAAAAAGCATTAATATAACACATATAAAGATTCGAGTGAGTGATTCGAGTGACACCGAATAAGAACGTACCTACTTATTTACTTTATTTTCAGTATTATACAAGAACTTTATTTTTATTCGGTGCATGCGGATCGGCCCAAAAAAATTGACGCATCTCTGGCTGCAACTGAACACATTTTTCAACGTGTTATATGTTTTGAAAATATAACATATTGCCAGTGACGACTTACGGATCTGAGACGTGGTCTTTCACTGCTGGCCGTATGAGGACGCGCAAGGTCACTCAGCGAGCTATGGAGAGGGCTATGCTCTGAGTTTCTCTGCGTGATACTCAGAAACGAGGATATCCGCAGTAAAACCAGAGTGACTGACATAGCCCAACGGATTAGAAGGCTGAAGTGGCAATGGGCCGGCCATATAGCTCGAAGAACCGATAACAGATGGGGAAGAAAGGTTCTCGAGTGGCAGCCTCGTACCGGTAGGCGTAGTGTAGGGCGACCCCCCACTAGATGGAGTGACGAGCTGGTAAGATATGCAGGAAGTCGATGGATGCAAATGGTTCAGGACCGTGATTTGTGGCATTACTTGGGGGAGGCATCGAATTAAAATCCGGATGATAAGGAAGCGAAGGTAAATTTAAGTATCTGTGTTCTTGCATAATGCGTTTTATTACAAATGCTGAAGACATTTGTTTGTGATGTTTTATTATACTTCATGAATCGGGCTTCAGTGATCTTGGATCATGCGGAATATTATGTTTTTGTAAACAGGCTATCATCTGGAGCTTAGAAATATTATCAACAGTAGGTGCAGACCAATAATAACATAACCTGAAACGGTTTCCAATGCGTAAGTTGCGATACACGAGGAGTTACCCTTAACCTTGTTATTAACAAGAGGTGAGGGAAAATAGATGCATTGTCCCCAGGGACTGAGTGAGCGTCATTCGCTAAAGCCAAATTATTAAAGTTGGTAATTGCGGAAGCGTCGACCGAAACAATAGGGAGACGCTCTGTCACTTTGTCTACTACTAATGAATTTATACTAAAATTAACACGGCGATCGAAACGCGAATAAAATTTTAATTTTATCGAACCTTGGACCGTTTTATTGTAGTCTCCAATTCCCCTCACTACGGGACATGAAGGCGTCTTATTTGCACATAATCCTAAACGTTGACAACATTGATAGTGTTATAAAATTACTTTGAGAAGCACTATCGAACAATGCAGACGTTCGCGTTGGCCTCGGTGGGCGGAGCGTCACTCACAGGTTTGCTCAACGTGGATGCGGCATTATTTACAAAATGTAGCATCGTATGATGTTTACTGCGGCACTTATGACTCACTGAACTAGAACTACAATTAGAAACACGATGCTTGTTACTCAAACAATTTAAGTGCAAGTTGTTAGCCTTTATTACTTTATAGCGCTCGCTCGGTGAGCGCTATAAAGTAATAAAGGCACAAATTTGCACAATTATATAAATTACCATGTTGATGAGTTTTACATAAGAAACGCGTTGTGCGAAAATGAAGGTGTGGTAGTCACATTCTTTAGCGATTTCGTCGGCTTCGGCGGTGCAGCCATTCGACGCTCGGCGCATTTGTTTACTTCTTGTTTTGCATTAGATGAACGTTGTATTATTTTGATTTGGTTTCACACGAAAGCTGCTAAGGCGTCGAACGATGGTACGGATGGTATGGATGGTGATAGGTAATGGATGGGATGGTATGGTGTCCGGGTCTAGCTATTTCAACGCAATGTGTAAAAATACAAAGTCCACAAGATCATTAAATTTAAGATTTTTGAGAGTGGCTACCGAATTGTTCGAGATTATATTCGCTTTAAGATCGAATATTTGGTCTAAATATGAAGAGGCTAAGTGTCATTATTTTTGACTGTAGTTCTAGAAATGTTATTTAGGGTTACGGTTCCAAAGTTTAAATGAACAAAATAATAAAAATTAACCACGATAACCGAAAAATGGTTACAGTTTGACCAAATTTCTAGGTTTTTCTTAAATGTCCATAATTTCCAAACTGCATGGTATAGATTTTTTTCTGATTTTTCTCATGATGGTTACAATCAATCCTGTCACGCCGTTTCGGCTTGACGTTGAGTTCTAGGACATCTTATATATTTACACAACGAGATGCAAAGAGTTATAATAGCGCGGTCAATTGCACGTTGCAGGTAGGATAAATATCCAAACGAAATAAACGATTTACGCGTAAACAAGTGGAGTGTAATTGTGAGCGATCGACTGCGGGAGAATGCAGAAGGCGGTTATCTGAAGCATGCACTAATCAAATCGAGTATTAATGCGGGAATACACTTGTATATAAATTCATATAAAATATTATGAATTGCGGTGCGATATAAGTAAATAGATATCTACTGCGGGCATGAACTAAATAAAATAGGCGTCTATGTACCTGTAATAGTGCGAGTGCTGCTACTAAATCGGAAGATAAAACTATTGCGTACACTACCCCAGTAGTGCGAAGCGAAACTAAAATAAACTTAGGAACTTAGGCGCGATTAAACCAGATTATATTGTCCAAATTTCAGTTCAGCAATTCGACTTAATTCGGCCATCGGTTGCCAGTTCAAATCCGGATCGACTTGACCTAAAGTATGGGTGCGCGTAAAGTGACCAAAGGTATGGCGGGGCGAACGATTAAGTGGACTGTATTAGCGTGGTTCAAAGGAAACCAAAACAAAATGGCGGACAAAATGGTATGTGGACTTTGGACATTATACTTGCTTTGAAACTAATTCGAGGCGTTGGCTGGCATGACAGGAGATGAGCTGCTTCGGATAAAAGGAGATCAAATAAAACAGCTCATAATAAGGATGGGCACTTGCCTGAGGGAAGCGGCCAGCGGCCTCTCTCTACGGCCATGAGGGCATGATGATAATTGCGAACTATTGTCGGCTTGCGGACACAACCAAAATTGTATTGCACTGGGGGTGATGGTGGCCGCGTGTTTCTTCTTATAGCTCACGCCGTCTCCCCTTACACCTTGACGGAGCGCGTCTCTCATTGGAGGACCAAAGGTTCGTCCACCAGTATCTAGCTCTGGATTTTCAAACGGATTGATATCCATGCGTCCACTCCAAATGGACGTCGTTCGCCGCTGTCCGTCAATGTCGAAAACGTGCACCACGCTAAATGGAAGCGGAATTGTCAGTGAATGGGTGAACCGGCGTCCATTTTTTGGAGGTTATTGTGTCAGTTTATGTTTTGGTGTTGATGGTGGTATATATGCTCTGTTTGTCAAACATAAACTGTGTACTTACTTACTTACTTCACGCACAATCCCTAACGGGGTAGCCAGAGAGAACAGATCGCCAAGTGTCACGATCCTTACATACCTCTTTCGCTTCTTTCAGGTTCATTAACTTCTTCATATATGCACGTCTAGGTATCCGAGTACTCTTTACCCTCCCCTCTTCGAGCAATTTGCTCACATGGTCTTCGAAAGTTAGTCTCGGTCTACCTCGACACCTTTTAATATTTACTTTCGCTCTATATATTTTCTTCACCATTCGGTCTTCACTCAATCGTTCAACGTGCCCAAACCATTGGAGTACGCCCCTATCAATTTTTGTGATAAGGTCATCTTTCAATCCTGCCATATTGCGAATCTCTTCGTTTCGCTTTCGGTCGGCTAAGGTAACGCCACACATTTTACGAAGAGATCGCATCTCCACTGCATTCAACTTGCTTTTATGCTTCTTCTGGCATACCCAGGTTTCGCTGCCATATAACAAAGTCGGTACCAACACTGCATTATGTATTGCAAGGCGTGCACTCTTCACCACGCCTTGCCTTTTTACTAATGCATTCAGGGCACCATTGACTTTGTTTCCGGCAGCGACACGCCTATCCACATCTAAATCACATCTTCCATCCCGGCTGAAAGCGCTCCCCAAGTATACAATTTCATTTACCTGTTCTAGACATTCCTGATTTACCCATATTTCACATTTCGTTCTCTCTTCGTCCTTTTCAAATACCAGAACCTTAGTTTTATTAGCATTCAAACGGAGACCTTTAATTTCACATTCCTCTTTCATACACGTGACTAATGCCTGCAGTTCTGCTTCTGATGGTGCAATAAGCACTGCATCATCAGCATACAGCAGACAATTAACTTTTATGTCACCCAATTCCATAAACTGTGTAATGGATTAAATATATTTTTATTGTGTAGACTAGGGGCCGTGAGACAAACGAGTACACAGTCCACATGATAATGTACTGTAGCCCTTAGACTGAATCTATCATCGAATAAGAATCAAAACGTAAATGCGTTGTCAACCCTGTAGAACTAGGTGGAGTGCCTCGCTCCCAGTAAAAAGATTATCCGGTTGTTTACACTCAGCATACGAAACATAGCAGCATTAAGCTGCTATTTTATGCTATTTTGTGAGAGCATGG